TGAATCGTATAATAATTAACATGTTCTAACCTACCATGCCAAACATCAGATGACTCAATCATATAAGCAGAAGAAGCATTAACTTTATTATTATTATTAATAGCTTTGGGTACAACAGTCATTACATTGAACTTAAATAGTCTATTACTCAGATACCCTTTGTCCACAAACATCCCATTTTTAGTCAATACAAACTTGTCAGGTAGAAATACCAGCTTGAACCCATTCTTGCTTAGGAGTGACCCAGAGACCAAGTTTTTCCTGATGTCTGGTACATGCAGCACATTATTAACAGTGAGCTCTTTTCCTGAGGTCATTAGTAGCTTGATCTTTCCTTGTTCTTCAACCTTTGCAGTAGAAGAGTTCCCCATGTAGAGTTGTTCTTCATTATCTATAGCTTCATAGGTAGTGAACATCATCTTTTCTAAGCAAACATGACGAGTAGCTCTTGTGTCCACCCACCATTCCCTATTGTTGCTCACAAGGTTAATTTTAGAAACCACAGCTGAAACATTTAGCTCTGACACATCAGCTATCAACTTATCTTCCTCAGTAATGTGCACCTCAGTGGTCCTTTTCTTGGGGCGGCTACGACAATCTTTAACTTGGTGTCCTAGCTTGTAGCATATGAAGCACTTTTCAGTGAACCTCTTATAGTTTCCTCAGTTGGAACCTTCTCCAAAGTACTTCCTCTTCTTATTCTTCTGTCCAGCTTCCACTACATTCACCTTTGACACCATTGAAGAATTCCTGGCTTTCTTTTCAGATATGCGGTTATCTTCTTCAATTCTCAGCCGTACAATCAGGTCTCCGAGCCCCATTTCCTTTCACTTATGCTTCAAGTAGTTTTTGAAATCTTTCCAAGTAGGTGGTGGATTTTCAATGATTGAAGCTACTTGAAAAGATTCACTTAAAGTCATCTTCTCAGCATGTATCTCATGTAGGATCAGCTGAAACTCCTGCACTTGACTCATGACTGTTTTGGAGTCTATTATTTTGAAGTCCATAAATCGTCCGACTACAAACTTCTTCAAGCCAGCATCCTCAATTTTATTTTTTATATCTAATGACTCCCATAACTCTTTAGCAGTGTTTATTGGACTGTACACATTATATAAAGTGTTGTCCAATCCATTAAGGATATAGTTCCTGCATAGAAAGTCTCCATGTTTCCATGCATCAACAACTCCTACCTTTGTAATGTCAGTTTCTCCCTCTTCTAGCACTGAGGCAGTTTCAGCTAGGTACTTGCTCAGATTTAGAGTTGTAAGGCAGAATATCATTTTCTGTTGGCACCTTTTAAACTCCGCCCCATTAAATTTTTTGGGCTCTCCCTATGACTGGCGGGAACACTAGGCATAGTAGTACTTGTACTTGCTATTCATCTGATATATATTAAATATACAGACCACAGTCAAATTTTCAGAAATAAAATAACAACAATATTTAAATAATTAAACTATAGTATAAGCAGAATCTATCTTAAGATTGTAATCCAAAAATATGGTCTAAGTATACCATACATTATAGTATTACTATTTAAATATTATGCATAAATATAATGTGTATATATATATAATTATTATTATAAAATAATAATCTATATATATAATATCTTATAAAATAAAACAAAATAAAAGAACCTGGAAATAAGTCGAGGCTAGAATTTGATTCTATGTCCTTAAAACAGATTCGTCCCGCTATGGTGCTAACGGACTCAACTTTTACTTCCTTCGGTAGTAGCACTGCAAACCAAAGGAATAAGTGAACTGGCTCAATGTAGTACTCTCTAACTACAACTCAGACTCAGAGTGACTGACTAAACTTGGACTCGGAGTGACTAACTAAGGCTCAAATCCAAAAACAGGGGCTCGTATCCACAGACACTTACAGAAGAAAAGAGAGGAAGAATAGAATTTAGAATTAGAGAAAATGATTCTGAATTAGAGTACTTTGGAATGAACCCAATGAGGGTTTATATAGGCCTCATTGTGCCTTTAGGGTTTAATATTTTCCCGATGTGGGACAAATATTATCCACATTTTGCAAACCCATTTAGGCTTATCAAACACCTTACTTTGGAGCTAATTTCTCATTCATCTGGAAACAGATTTGAGAAAGTAAATATACCACATTCATCTCCTTGCGGAAAGGAATGCGCTCGTCTATAGATCCGCAAACAATTCTTAGCGGAATCTATTCAAAATCTCATCCAAAGTTTATGTTTTAATGCCCCCGTTTCCAACAGAGGTTTTGGCTCTCATGGGTGAGCACTGGCTCCCCATTTGTATAGAGGCCACTGAGTAGTTTCCAGCGGGTTAGTAGCCCGGCAATAGCTATTTTTTCGGTGCACGTAATGCGTGTGATTGTGTGTGTGTGAGTCCAAGTTATCCCTATTATATTATTTTGGTTTATGTTTTCCAAGTTGACCTACATGTGTATTGTGACTTGGCTTGATTTGGATTCTAATACATTTATCACATTATGCTTGCATTCGAGACGATTTTATAAACAATTGTTTACTTGCTAGTTTTAGACGAACTCTAGGATTCCCCTTTAACTAAACGTTAGGAAGCATGTTCCATATTCGTGTAGCATGTGCTATATTTACGGAGCCAAAGAAACCTAGTTTATCTTTATAATGCACTTTCATACGGAATAATTTAAATTAATTATTCACCCTCGTTGATTTAACTCTTTTCAGGTACGGATGTACTTTACATGGACATACCTCGATCTTAGCTTGGGCATTTGCTTGTCGTTGTTTTGAACTCTTTTTTGGATAATGTATCACATGAAAAATGTTAAGCATGTTTGGGGTAGTATTTGGTATATGAAATACTTGTAAGCATGTATAATTTTAAAGAAGGGAAATGGTTCGGGAACTCACTCTCATCTTTTATTGTTCCTGGATGATTTTCACTTCTCTCCGTCACTTTTGTATCTATATGTAAGGGCTCGTGTATGTTTGAGTCTCACGAAAAACGCACACAAGGTCGTCACGAGTCCTCCTTCTACCAGGGCACACACATCTACTATATGCAGCTACCCATCCCAATCAACAATATACTCCTCAATCCTAACCACTGATCCTAAGACCTCAAGTTCGTATCATGGTACACCTAATATATATATATATATATATATATATATATATATATATATATATATATATATATCTAGCCATATCCTGATAGTGGCATAAACATGTATAACCTACCGTAACCATACCCTGACAACGGCATGGTCCCACATGAAATATTATATCCATATCCTAACAATGGTATCATAAAACAATACAACCATAGCCTAACAATGGCATAAAATAAAAGGGATCTAACTTATTAGCCAGTCCACCAATTAATAAGAACCATGTCCTGACGATGGTCCCACATACAATAAAGATAGATCACATATTAGATCATGCAAAATAGTCACGAACATGATTAAAAGCACATTATCAATTCTTACAACTATTATAGCAATTTATCATTATTAAATCACATGAATAACTTATAAGTTATTAAAGTCCTTATTATCAATCATGTCAATCATAAACCTAGCCATGAACCATTTTGATAATTTATAATTCCAGCAAAAAGATAATTAAAATCATATCCCTTGCTAAACATTTAAATTCTAATGTTTAAACAATTCAAAGCATTCAATTTACAAATTAATAATTGAACAAATCTCGTAATAACATGCATGTTTAAGCTTCATGCTATTAAATCCATCTACTACTATCGCTTATTTCAATATGGATGCCTTGACATTGATGGCTCCATATGTGAAGTAAATGATTTGATGGACTCCGTGGTCACCTTGGACTACCCGCCATGGAAAACTCCAAAGGAACCCCTTCCTCCACTCTCTAGTACTCCACCAGTTCCATCACTCATCTAGTACTCCACTGGTTCCAAAAGAGACTCTTCCGGTCATCATTGCTTCAAATCTTGAAGATGACCAAGAGAATGATCTTTGGATGTGCTTAAAGAGAATAAGGAAACCATTGGATGGAGTGTGTAGACTCGTTTTGATGTTAGGATAATGATTCTTAGATATATTATGCATGTACTTTCCATTCATGATTCATGCTTTGGGTTTGGATGCATTGGACAGGGCTAGAACACTTGTGTTTAGGCTGATTTTGCTCCAGGGGGATCTGATCAGTTAGATGGGGCCATCTAATCGGTTACATGGACCTGACAGAATGCTATTTTTGTTGTTAGACTTATTTGATTAATTAGATAGACCGATTAGATGAGGTTATCTAATCGATTAGATGAGCCATTTAACCAGTTAGATGAACCTTGACAGATTTTCCCATTTCTGGACCAGTTATCTGATTGGTTAGATGAACCATCTAAATGGTTAGATGGCCTGATGTTTTCACTCGTGGTTCTTCACACGACCATATCTTCTTCGTTTTAAATCCGATTGGGGTCATTCTTGAGCCTAATTTTTATTATTTTTTAGTTGGCAACCCAATGGTTCACACCCCATCCTCTATTTTAGATATGAAATAACCATTTTATCCCTAGTTTCACAATATGTCTGTTTTGACCTTAGCTTCTACATTTTGTTGCCCGGGTTTTTTGGTCGGATTGTATCCTTTTGGTTGATGAACCGAATCATGGAATTTAGGGCATCATAGGTTCAGGTGATGCTGAACTTGTTTAAGTTAGCCAGGCTTGAACATCTTGGAAAGCCTTTAATAGTTGAATCGGTTCAAGTTAAGCATAATGAAAAAATTCTCTTAAAGCCTAATTTTGAACCACCCAAGTGTTCTCTCACACTCACATACCTTCTTAAGACATTCTTCTCATCATCACGGAGTGTATCAAAGCATGAACACGATCACATCTTTAATTCCGCTTCGGATCTTGAGTCTTGACAAATTAATCCACAAATTTACAACTCGATCGGACTTGTTTTGACAACAAAATTTGCCAAATTACAAATTTATATCTCACACTTACTTCAAACTTCATAAAGTGAATGACCTCAAAATTATAGGGTGAATTGGAATGATAGAGAGAAGATTAGCATGACCCCGCACAAAAATGACATGGACAAATCATTGAGAAATGGTCCAAATTCATAGAGTGAATGATCTCAACAAAATCAAGAGAAAGCGAGTTATTGCTTTTCAAGTATTCATGGATAGAAAATTCATCATTTCAAACTTTTTAACATTCCTTAATATTAATATTTTAGACACAAGAATAAGATACACCCCTAACTTAAGTAAATATTTATTGAGAAGAATTTTATCTTAATTTTCATTCAAATTAATTCTCTAAGGAGTGTTGAATACCTCTTTCATGAACTTCTCCGTATTTGTGATTCGAAAATAACTGCAAGTATTTAAAGGGATTAATTATATCCCAAAAAAAGTTTAACATGCATCATTCACTCTATCTCAAAAAAAAAAAAATTAAATAAATAAATAAATAAATGATAAGAAGTTTGACTTTTAAAATTATTTTATATGATTGGAGAATGACATTATTACGATATTATTATACTTGATGACATCAATGTGACACTATTCCGACCCATGAAAATACAATCACAGTAATCAAGGATTCAGATTCCGAATCATAACTCTTTACAAAAAATATATGTACATGTTTGTGTGTGTGTGTGTATTATGACCATGGACTTTAGCTTTTATTGGGAAACCAAGACTTAAGAAAAAGCAGTTTGTTGGGAAGGATAGAACATGGATGGTGCTATTAAAGCAACGAATTGGACCACTCCATTTGTATGGAAGTGTCACCAGATTTTTCCTACCACGGGACCAAGTTCTAAGATTGTAGCAAGCTGTCCTGTAGGACTTGTCATGCAAAGCCGGTCCAACCGGTCGGCTACCCAACAGGTTGTTCCACCACAGATTTTGGGACCATGCTGCCCACTGCCTCTCACACAAAATGTATATATAACAAAATAATCAGGGTATGTTTGTTGGGTATTGTGGTAATTAACAGAAAAAAAATGTGTTTAGTAAAAAATATTTTGTTTTGCACAATACTAAAACGTTCTATGAATAGTGACCAAAAATCGAAACACTTAAAAAATATATATTTAAAAAACTCTTAAATAATATTTTTAAACCAACCTTTATATTTTTCAAACTTGTAATAGTTTTCCGTCAATATGTTTTTATGTTTTTACTTCAAAAAAATTTACTGCAAATGGACTTTATCAAGTATGCTTCTCACTACTCTTCAAAACACTTTATAACAAAATACTTATTTTGTTTCGGATTATAACAAAACGTCAAAAATTAAAACACAAACCAAACAGAGCCTTACTTTCTTGAGTATGGGTGTGCCAAAGCTGTTCAAAAGAGCACGTTCAACTATTCTTCGAGTTTGACTAATTGGACGGTCAAATTTGCATACTTGTGAGGAAAGTTGAAACAATTCTCTTCCTGAGTTGTTTCCTGAGTTCCTTCTTGTCTAGACACCAAAAGCTTTTTAAAGCTAGACTAACCCTAAAAGACTTAAATATCTACTTATACAATCCAAATTATATTGCATTAATTTTACGCAACTGGACATAAACTCAATAATCTATCTAAATTTTTTTTAATTTCAATTACAAAACACCTATTCAACACCTTACCATAAAATTAAGTAAATTCAAGCCAAATTAATGATAATGATAATGATAATGATGACGTGTCTTAATCTCCATGACATGTCTTAATCTCAATGATAATGATGCATGTCTCTTGGGTCTGGCCCACCTCAACCCTCCCTATGGTTATCATGCTCGACCCATCCGTCCTTGGTGATAGGTGTCTGACAATATAAACTCCAAACAAAGTCAAACCCTTCGTAATTGGCCTCACTTGACCCAAACTTGGTAGGAATGTAATTGATGTGCATATTTCATAATCAAAGCCATTCGATCCAGGTTTATTTATTTATTTATTAATAATTCTAGAGTTGATTATTTTGAAGTATCAAAGGAAGTAGTGGGTTGTCCATTATGTGAATGTCACCTTACTTAGAATAATGAAGAAAGAAATTCAAATAAAAAAGTGTTTTGAGTCTGAATTACGTGCTGATCCATAAGAAAGTCACACAAGAGGAAGTGTGTTGGAGGATTTAACAGCGATGATTAGCTCAACATTCACAGCATTATTGACCAAATGTTACAAAATATGAGTGAAATAGATGATGGAAGTGATGTTGATGAGGAAAGAGAGGGCCAGTAGTTGTGCTTAGAATGTGCTTTTGTTTTATTTTCTTTTGGTGTTCCTATTTTCAAATCTTTTGTTAACTACTAATTTTTAGTATGACATGTTTTTGAGTCCAACTTTTGCATGACATGTCTGATGTCTTAATGAAAGAATTAATTGGCTATATTGTCCTCTCTCAATTGTTCATATTTGTGCTTCAATTAAAAACCTTTGTCAATTTGTGTCAAAATGGGAGGAAAAAGTTAGGAGAAACAATTCGTGTTTACGGGTCATGATCTTGTCGGGTCGATATATAAGTATTCTGTTAAATAAGAGTCATAATCGTGTCAGGTCGACGTATAAGTATTCTGTTAAATAAGTCGAACCAAACATGCCTTGTTTATCAACGAGTGGGGCACACAATTTCTGGTAGCACAAGACAACAGAGAAAGCATTGAACTGTGCCAAGTATTGGTGTAATGCAACATTATTGCTTAGCATCAAATGTTCCAAATGCAATAAAGCAAGCCATTTACAACAGCAGTAACTAGCTGTGCTTTTGAATGTTAGGGTTCATAACTACATCTGAAAGTCTCCAACCAAATTCCCATTTTTATTAAAAAGTATATATATATTGCACAACTATTCATCATCATGCCAGACAGAGTAATGGGATGTCACTGTTCACACCTACAATTCTTTAATGAAATCCCTATCAATCCCCCTATTTCATTGTCAATGTAGTTGGCCACACGAAAATATGCAATCTAAATCATACTATAAAAGGACCTCTGCATAGCCTCACTCAACTTGCAATAGCTGGCTGAGCTTAATCCTAACTTAAGATGAAACTATCCTAAGTTCCGGTTCTATCTTTCGTGCCTCCTTTTCGGGAAATCAAACATAACCCAACTTAAGAACGTGTAGGGTTTAGGGATTAAGGTTTAGGGTATCTGTCTTTGATATTTCTTTGTTTCACAAGTATTAAACAATAGTATAACACCGGACATAGTTGAGCTACGCAAAAAAAAACTGTAACTATGAAGGGAAAAAGTACTTGATATTCTGCATATTTCGTGTAAAATTTCGTTACACCCATAACTCCTATTTGGAAGAAAATATTCTGCAATAAATCAAAATTATTTACAAGGGAGAAGAGATTATACATTTTTTACTATGTATTCTTTAGCTGTGTACAAACCCATACCTCCAGATACTTTATATTTTGTATACAAAAGATCAAATGAGGGAAAAATTATTTATGTATGTAGAAGGTACCTGAAACTGAACTCATATGGCATAACCTGGACAAACTGTGAAAGAGGCTCGTCTTTTCCTCTCTCGAGGCATCTAATCGCTTCTTTTCCGAGTTCACTTGGTAGTTGGAGGCAAATCCAATCAAGCAATGATTCCAAGTCCTTTGCAAAGTCGAATAGATACCAATCCAACAGCTTCGGGATTGCTAACAACTTCTTTGTTGGTGAAATGCCTACTGCTGCCTGCAAGTACTCTCTTTTTGCCACTTCCAGTTCGTTTTCAACCTGAGATGCAGTGTACACTCTCACCTTCATTTGAGAAAATTCATAAGTTAGTTGCAGCAGAAAATATTTGCAAATCAAAAAGGACTTCTCTAGGACTGTACTAATCAAAGCAAGTTGGTTCAATAGACGCCACAAACAATATATATATCTTCAAAAAAAAATCACTAATTGTGGATATTTTCACAGGAAAGATTAATGGAATGGAAAATATTTTGAGAATATTGACGCCAGCCAAAATAGTGAACAATTATTGAATATGAATAATACACAATAAAACCGGTGTACATCAGATTAATCAATGAGTTACGTTAGGATTACCAAAAAAATTCATAGAGTTAGATGATTAAATGTTTGTGGGACTAAATTTAGAAGATTAAATGAACTCTATCTACCCTGTGCATTAACTTACAGCAGGGGAGGACCAGCTTCCACAAGAGAGTGCAAATGTAACTAATGGTTCAGATAACTCCAATCCGAAGATGCTCCATGCTGTCATCTCATCTTTTCTTGCATTTTTCGCAAATGTCTGGTGGGAACTCATAAATGTGGTAAATTGTTAGGAAAATTCTATCATTGAGTAGAAATTAAAACCTAGAAAATTGGAAAGGACTCCGCGTACATATTTTGAGTGATAAGGCAATCGCAGGATGAAATGTTCTATGGTTATAGCATTAAGCAAGTGCCCCCCGACATTTATTGTAGCCTGAAAGATAAGAATTGGAAGTTCATGTATTGATGAAAACATAGATAAGCATACATACACTTTCAAAAACAAAAGCTTTAGGTTCATATTTAGTCTACCCTAAAAGGGCCCTAAAGATGAAACTGGTTAATGACCCTTTCAACATATATAAACATACATACATGAAAACATATTATCAAGAATTGCTGTTGTGTTCAACAATGGGCTCAAGTATTATAGGCTGCAAATTGGTCTATAAGACTATAAAGTTAGCGAACCGTAATGAGTTGTGCCCGTGCATGTGATCATTGATCAATGACACTATTAGTCCCGAGTGTTGTAATAGAACAAAATAAAAAATGTTATCAATACATGAACAATAGGAATGGTATGATAGACCTTACCTTCTGCATCAGTGCAACAACCATCTCAGCACTCTCTGGTATTCCTTGCTCTAGAAATGCCTGAAGCACCATAGTAGTCTATTGTAAATGTCTCTCTTCTTTATAACAAGCGCATAATAAAACACAATTTGTAGAATAGTAGAGCACACCCCTCCCCACTAAACCCCATTGTTTTAGCTACTGAAGACACTCAAACATGAATGGTACCTAATGTAAGTATATCAGAATTGTAACAGAGAGGAAGCTACAAAATTCAATTGCACAACTGGTTTCACGAAACATATGTTCATAGAAAGGTCTCACTCATACATTCATCATGCATGAATTGTAAATATTGATCCAGAAAGCAAGCTTCTCCTGATGGCCGAGGCCTTTCAAATCAACCGAAGCAAGTTTCCCAAGGAGGAGTCTGCAATTATGGAAGATATAAAGAATTAACTACAAGCAAAATCGCATGGAACGTGAAGAAAGAAAGAAACTAATATAATTGTGGCTTACTTCAGTCTACGAACTAGAAACATAGAATTCATTGTCCGGTTGAAATTAATTGAGGTAGATTCAATGGCAAATAATTGCTTATATGGGCCAATATCTCTCTTTCCAAATTTTGAACAGATATTATAAGGATCCTTAAGATCTGCTTCTTCACAGCTTTCATATGAAGCTAATGCCGATAAGGATGGTAATGCTTCGGTGGTTCTCCTATTCTTCAACGAGCTCATCCTTAAGAAAATGCTAGATAAGCACTTCAGAATATTCTCAGAAATTTTGTTTGGACTATCATCTCCGCATAATCTCTCGTCTCCAATAACAGAACTTCTGGCTTCCGCACTTTCATGGTCTATAACTCTGCATTCTGGCTGGAAATTAAGAAATCCCATGTTCATTCCACTGAGAGTAAAGTCCAACTCTAACTTAGTCAGAGTTGACGAAATAAGAATATACCTGTTGTTTCTGAGGGTCTAAATGCTTCTCCAGTCTCTTTACTGGAATTTTTATCACGCCGGCTTTTGAATTTGGGGATTGCTTGTTGTTCTTCGTGGAATTATTGCACAATTGGTTTTTGTTTCCTTGCTCAACATCTTAAAAAATAAAATAAGAGAATAAGGTTTCGCCAATGGCTATTTCTCATTTCTACCCAATTGAACAGTGCACATTATAAGCATTCATAAGAAAGAAGTCAATGGAGTCAAACCCAAGCCATTACAAGGGAGAGGAGGTGAATTCCTAGCCATGAATGTTGCAAGATTGCCATCACTTTGAACTGAAGACTTGGATTGTTTCTGTTTGGAAGCTTTAATTGGATACGGGACATATAAATCAGCCAAACTTTCCATGTTCCTCTTGGAGGAAGAAATGTAGACAGCTTCGTGATACAAGCCTTGTCTGAAATGCACAACCTGTTCTTCAAGCCGCACAACCTCCTCTTCCAAAACAGCCACTTCAGCGAGAAGCTCCAGTGTCTGCAAATACCAAAATCACCCATTATAATCCCAATTCTCGAATACAAAAAAAAAAAATTGATGTCAAAACTAATCTAACAGATAAATAGAAATATTGGGTGAACTTGGGGTTCTCTACTATTTTTTCACCTTCTTAAACACTTCCATGAATGTCATTGATTCTTCCGAGTCATTTTCTATTACAATGACTTTCCTTTCTATTGTCTCATATTCAAAATTTCACTAAATTTGCACCTCTCTTCAAATTCTGCTAATTATTCAATATCATGAGCACAAAAAGAAAAACTGAAAGTAGCAAGTGTTGAGAGAGTGGAATACTAACACAAGGAGGTAGATAAGGAGGAAGACGAGGTAGAGCGCCCAAGGGTCTGGTAAACGCCCTCTCCAATGCCCGGTGAACGTTCTCTTCATGTCTAAGCTTCTTCTTTAGCTTATCAACCTGAAAATACAATTGCAATTAGTGTAGAGTAATCAATAGAAGGAACTCTACACAGAATCCTAAAAATCAAATGCATGTGACATGAAATGTGGATACATCTTCTTGTAATGCCTTTTTTCTCTCTCTGATTGCACCGTGCCTACTTATGGTTGCTTTCCTGGCATCCTTTAGTCTGCTCCCCTGCATTTCCACCTTCCCCTTAAATTGAATAGAAACAGAATACAGCAATGAGCCTCCTCAAGAAAAGAAGATGAAGAATATGACAGAGAAAAAGGAAGATAAAGGAGAGAGGACAAGAAAAAAAAAAAAATCTCAAAACTGTTGTGGATAGCAATCAAAGAAGACAAGAGGGGCAGAAATCACATATTCACAGGTCAAATTTTAAGATTTTGAAAACCCAATTATTATTATTTAAAAAAAAAAAAATACAATTATCATAAAAATCCATCTCGGGTCATCATCAATGCCTACTTTTTCAAGCTTTTTTCTGCTAAATTTCAGCTTCTGCAAACCAGACCAGTAAAGCAGAAGCTATGTTTTCTTGTAAAAAACTACACATCCACACTATCAGAATAGTCACAAAACAACTTTCATGCACATTAGCTCACCACACAGAACATTTATCAAACATGAAACGAACCCAATTCAGACTTTCAATTGACCAACAATGTTTATGAATAAATAATTACTTTTTCATGCTGAATTGAAGCTTTCATAGTCTGCAAACTCTTCGGGGCTCGGGAATTCATCGTTTAAATTTTCCCGGAAAATGAGAGAAACACTGCAAACCCATTAAAACCCATTTCAATACACACATAAATACATCGAAATCAGAGAAACTATTGAATCAAATTAGTCTTTGCATTAAATAAAGTAGAAGATATGAATGGAACCTTAATTCAGAGGAAGAGGAATTCCATTCCCTGAGAAAGCGGGAAAGTTGAATGAATGAGAATGCAAGCCCCAAAAAGACAAAAACAAGTGTGGTGATGAATCCAATCTCTGTATTCCTCGATCCGTGTGAAGTAAATCAACATAAACAGCAAGCCCAGAAGATATGAATGAGCTCCCCAGACTCCAGCTAGAACATCATTGGACATCGATACAAGCTCATCAATAGTATACTAGTAGTACAAAATATATAATCCACACACATATATATATGTGTGTATATATAACAAAGAGAAGAGAAGAGAGGAGAGAGAGAGGATTACAACTGTATTTCTTCACCTTCATAGGGAAAGGGCTTTATTTATTTGAGAGGAGAGAGAGGGGGATATGGTTGCTCTGAGTCTGTGAAAGGTAAATTCGTTGGCTTTGTGAAAAGGATGGATGGTACGCATCTAGCGCACTATAGCGCCGTACGCAACTAGACACACTGCCTCACTGTGTCATCATGCATAAACGTGCGCTTCTCTTTTAATCCCAACTCACCACTTTATCACTTTTTTTTATTCTTGGGTGATCATTTTTCCTGCACAATGGAGATGGGAACAGCAAAAAAGAAAAGTATACACTATACATACATAAATACATATATATATATATATATATATAAATACCCCCTCCCCCAAAATAGTTGGGACGGAAGAAGTAGTATATTTTTCTCCTGTAAATTATATATGAAAATAACCTTCTAAATTAAAAAAAAAAAAAAAAATGAATGTTTGAATTCTCTTAGTCCAATAGAGCCTTGTTTTATTTGCTAGGATTAAAAAAATAAAATAAATTGCACTTACCTCCTTATTAGTTAGCGTTTGTTATACTTACCTTCTTTGTACTTTGTATAATTATAGTTACCTTCCCTTTAGTCATGTGTGTAATAAACTTGTCATGTTGTCTTTACAATCAAAATGGTCAAATGCTGATTTGATAAGTTTTTTTATGTTCAATATGCCCCCTTCAAATTACTATGTAAATACTTTTGTGCAATGCTCATCATGCGAAAAGACAATTTTACCCCTGAACAAAGAAAATTAAATTAACAAAAATGTCATTAGTGGTATAATTGTTTTTTTGCACAATAATTATTGGACAAAAGTATTTTCATGATAATTTGAATGGCATATTTTTCATTTGAAGCAAGAAAACTTGTTAAATCAGTGTCAACCATCTCTGACTAACTGATAGTGAAATTAACGGTAAGAATCGATTTGTTGTACATATAGAAGTAAGTATAATAAACTCTAACTAGAGTAGAAGTAAGTGTAATTAGCCCAAAGAAATATTACATACAGTTTATTCAGGGTCTAATACACAATATTTCATAGATGCCCCTGAATAATGCATAAAAAAAAAAAGAAGGGAAAATCCACTTGAGGTAGTAAGTAAGATAACTAAAATTACCAATGATTAATTCAATTGATTACTAAAGTATGGTAATTTAAGTTGACCTCATAGTAGAATCCAATGCTTAATTCAATTGATTATCCATTAAATATGATGTGTTCTTTAATTACTACTAGTAGTTTAAGAGGCAAAACAAGAAATGGTTGAAGATATTAAATGTGGGAGGATTAGTTTTTTGAAAGCAAAAGGTGCCTAGATCACATGGCTGCCAACTAGAAGGTTTTTGAAAGATAAAAATTGAAAATTCTTCTTCCAAAATGGCAAGACATGTGGGGATTTTGATTTTGATATATTGATCCATACTTGTTATATTATTATATATTTTTATTAATTGCAGGCCAATAGTCATGTTCAATTCACATGGAGAGACATAGATTGGAGTATATTTTTTTGCCTCAATTTGGTGATGGGTGTTACTGGGTAGCTGGAGGTTTGACAAGACATTTGAATAGTCACTCCTTGCCCTTTTTTCTTTTTCTTTTTTTCCTTTAAATTATTAATAATCTGGGGAAAAAATAAAAAATAAACAATTACTTTATATATACTACTTTTCTAGTAATTTGGTAAATATTGGGTAAATTTTTTTCAAGACAAATGAAATATCCAATCCAAATTAGTTTAGGTAGAATGTAAGCCAAAAAAAAAAAAATCCTTGGAAATTAGGAGGGGGTATTCGAACATGTGTACATCTGCTCGAAAAAATAGGCGTTTTACCAACTAAGACCATAAACAACCAGTGTAACCATTTTTTCTTATTTCCTTTGATTCACCAGTCATTTATGAAAATCTATTGATTTTATCCATTATTTGTACATTGTTTTGACTTATTTAGTTTGTGGACAATTGTGTGTGTGTGTGTGTATATATATATATATATAATTAATGAAAATGAATCTATATAATTGCAATGTTGATTTTGGTACATATAAATATAGAGTATATTCTTAAAAAAATTATATTAATGGACATTTTCGTCATTACGAGGTAGCCTTGCAACAATAGAAAAAAACATAGGGGGTTTTATGTCGAAAAAATATTTAGAGGGGTGTTTTCTGCTAAAAATTGAAAGTAAAGAGGGATTTTTTTGGCAATTTTCCCTTAATATTATTTCATCTTGGGTGAAATATATCTTTCCAGCATGTTATTAACATAAAATAATATTAAAGAAATTATAATTTACTTTTTGGGTTACTTCTTCACAAAGTTGTTTGGGAAAAAACTTTACATCTCAAATATTCTTTAAAATTCAATGGAAAACATTATTGGTCACAAAAATAGGAATCACTTTCACAACAATCCTCCTCTTTCATTTCACACACACAAAAAATAAAAAGACGAAAAAATCTAACATTTCATATAATTTTGTGACCATTGATCATTAATAGCAATCAAATATCTCACTCTTGCAAGGAAATCTACAAGTAAAAATAATCAACATAGATTAATTATGTGCAACTAAATATATATATATTTTTTTTACAAATAATTATTAATGGGTTTTTGTTGCTAATAATATTTTAGATGACAAAATATTTTGGAGACAAGGATAGGAGAAAGTAAGCCACACTTTGGAATATTTTGACATGTGATATATCTTTAAATAAAAACTTTCTATTTATTATTATTATTTTTTATAATAAAAAAGCCTAGAGTTTTCAACAGAAATGAATAGTTTTCTCTCAGTAATGTAGGTGTATGAAAATCTCTTCGGAATTTAAAAAAAAATAACAAAATAATAATAATAATAATAAAATAAATATAATTTGATTTTGCCTAATTAATATAGCCGGTCAATTACCACGTTTTCTTCATCATCAAATGTTTCAGATTTCAGAAACACCATATTCAGATTATAGATACTTAAATACTCTTTATATATATATAAAATAATTTTTTTTATTTTTTAAAAAAAGACAATACTCTTTGAAGAAGTAAGCTAAGCATCTTAAATATTGAAGGACCAAAAGAAAGGTATGTCTGAATATTTAAACCCAACATCGCGTGCATTGTCAGTTTCACGTTGAGCTTTAAATACATCTCCAACTTTTCTTAAGGATATCAGAGAACTAAAGTGGATGGATCCTTTAGTGATGATTATAAACACCACCAAAATCCCCCTTTTTTTTTTATCTTTTGTATATTGGCGGTAAAAAAAAAAAAAAAAAAAAAAAAAAAAAAAAAAAAAAAAACTATACACGTGCAAGACATTACGTACGGTAAGTGTTTGAGTTCGGACGATTCCGACCTAGCTCAAATCTTCTTATCTCAAATCAATTCTAGTGAACACGTTTATTTTTTTAAAGGTGGACATGAATTCCTGTATTTTTTAATTTTGTATCAAATTGTCCCTGATTAATAATTTAGACCAGGGACAAAATACCCTTAAGGGTAATTTTGGTATTTCAGTTTTAATTTTTTTTTTATAAAAACCCCAAAAATTCAATATATATATATATATATATATATATATATAAATTCCAAAATACCCTAATATTCCAAATTCTTTTACAAAACCTCCCTCAAAAATTATAAAACTTCAAATTTTTTGAAATAAGGCTCTATATATTTTGACCTAAAATATTTTCTTAGGAAAACATTTTTCTTTTTCAGGTAAAATATATTTTTTTAATTTTTATTTTTCGATATTTGACAAAAATTTAGGTCGAGGTTGAGGTAGAGTCCGGGCGGGACGTGTAAAATAACTTGTCGAAAATTAATGGATACGTTTTGTTTTGTTAAGTTTTAATATTTTTTTCTTAGTAAATATTTTAGGACAACCAAATATTAGAAAATAAAAATATATATATTTTTTGAAAAATATGTTGCATCCAAACACACATTAATTTTTTCTTTTTTTGTCATCAAATTAAAGAATTGTTCTTATTTGCTCAATTTGAAAAAATATAAATAAAAAAATTTAAACACCAAAAGAATATTTGCAAATTTTGTATATAACATGATATTTTTTATACTTTACACTTGCATTTATGACACACACACACACTAGTAGTGTGTATTCTACTACTTGTAGTTGGTGAGTGAAAAGGGGTGAGAGTTACACATGAGATGGGAGTTGAGGCCAAATTATGATGTGTTGTGAAAGAGTGACAGGAGACGATGATGATGGACTGTGGCATTTTGCTGTGCATGGCCTGTGAGAGAAGTCTAATAGGAAATGGACATGCCACCCACATCCACGTGACGGTACGTGTGACACCAAAAATAAACTAGTATTAGAAAACATGTCTAATCTTATATTAATAAGTGCTTAATTATTTCTCAGTCATATCTTATGTCTGTTTCACTTTTACAAAACTAGAATCTTATTGAAGTGTCTCATATGAGATATGGTCTTCATTAACGACGCGAACCTTATCAAATGTGATCTCTACTCCCTTTATGTAAGTGTTCATTTAATGAAACTTGTTACTGCAAAAATTTGCGGGATCCGAAATGAAACGCCTTTTTTTTGTAAAATAAAAGAATGACGATATTTTGTATGGTACGATGTGGTGCCACTCGAGGCGCTCCGACAGTCAAGTCAATGGCCGATGATAATGACAAGGTATTATATGCAGTAAATCGTAATTAATTTTTAATGTACATCTTTTATTGGCCATTTACTATCTCTCTTGTGATCTTATCGATCCAACTGAGATGATAGAGAAGATGAATCTTATCTCCTCTAACAACTCTTCAAATGAGGTGATCGTTTCTACCTGTCAATAACTTGATGTGGTCGTTACTATATCTAAATCCTGAAAGCTATAAAATCAAAATGATAGATAATTATGGCAATGAACCTTTGCAAGTGACACATTCGAATCAGATTCTCAATCTGATTCTTAATGTAACGACCCACTCCACTACATGGTATGATATTGTCTGCTTTGAGCCTGAACCCGCACGATTTTGCTCTTATATTTTACCTA